AGAGAGAGAGAGAGAGAGAGAGAGAGAGAGAGAGAGAGAGAGAGAGAGAGAGAGAGAGAGAGAGAGAGAGAGAGAGAGAGAGAGTATTTGTGCAAGTATATTGGTGTAGGGCCAAGGGTTGATTCTTTGCCAATAGATTCAGACTGCAAAGGGGTAACCGGAAATTGTTCTTGGATTACGTGCGACCCTGTTCCCTCTTTTTTCTGATTTGTAAATGTGCACGAACATGTATTCGTCTCACTTTCTTTTGTTCCTTCGTTAGTGTTCGCTGTCGCTTCGGATTCTTTCTTCTTAGGCCGCTGGAATTTTATTTTCTGTTCTTTTTTTTTTTTTTTAATATATTGTCTAACCGACTGGCCCGGCCCCAGGCAATTCTATAAGTAGTAAGTATATGATTTCACTCAGGTCTGTATGTCAACAGTTCATCATGGGTGTAACAGCTGAGCTAGGGCCACCATTGTTGTTCTTTGTCTTGTTTTGTTCTAGTTTGGCTTTCAATGTTTCACCTTTTTTTTTTTCTTTTTTTTTTTTAACTACGCTAATATATTCTTCTCTCAAATCTTTCATCATCTTTCCAATTCTTTCAGTTCACCCACACTACCTACCTACCGCTACTTCTAAGGCTTATACAGGGGACCCCTGCAAACATAGCTTTGTTGTCTCCCTCTAGCGAGTATCATTTTTTCTGGCCCCTTCGCCCCATCTTTTTTTTTTTTAATGCATTTAGGTTCTGCATTGTTTGCAGTCTGCTAATCCCCCGGCTTATACAGGTGGATCTTCCTATGTTCGAGCGAAAGATACATTCTCCATTTCGCACCGAATGTGAAAAGAACAGGAACTGTGGCGGGTGCATCTTTCCATGTACTAGTGAAGGATGCATTCTCCATTTCCACATTTGGTGCATAGTACAGTGAAGCCCCAGGACGCCACGTCGTGTGACACTCGCCGCAGCTGATGCCACATGTAAGCTCTATGGGGATGTCTGCAGTTCCCCGGCAGCATTGCTGACCTGCCGTACTGTCCCCAGTTTCAGGTCTCAGCTTAGGCTTGGATCAGAGTCATCAGACAACTCAGGTGCAATCCATAGACCTCGACGTCTGCTGTGTATTCCCTAGGTGATGTGATGGAGACCATAATTGCTGTGGCATCTCCATGATGTCTGCTGATTTGACTTCTGATTACAAGATGTTTAACTGTGAACTAGCTTGCCGCCAACGGGCACAAACATAATACCTTAAGAAACACTTGTGCACCACATTTTGTTTGCTCTCTCTCTCTCTCTCTCTCTCTCT